ACATACATACATACATACATACATACCTCATGAAAAGACAGTGGCCCGGCAATACACGGTCCTTACCGTTGCTCATTGGTTCTGACTTGTGTGAATGTACCCCCAAGTCCCCCAAGTAGTATGTCTAGTACTTGGCTTTGTTTGCGTGAGCCGGGGTTGTGTATGTTGCGTTTGCCTGATGCCTTGAGACACCCAAGTCTGGCCACAGTGGGGAGGTGTGGGGAGCTAGGGCATTTATACCATCAGATCATATCAGATCCATCCTGCCTCCTGTGCCCAGTATAACGTTTTGGGAAAAAACAGTTCCTTTTGGCCTCCCACTTGGGTGGAAATTTCGAAAAGAACCGGTGGCAGGACGTGAACTACGGCGATGCTGACTGTGCAATGTTTCCTCAATGCACGAAGCTGAACATGTCAGGAGCTTGCTGCCCTGCAGCCAACGGCGAGAACTTGGAATGTTGCGGAGTGTAGGTGAAGGAAGGGCCCTTGCCCACGCTTCTTTGAACTTTGAATGCAACAAGTCAAATTCCCAAGAATTTTTTCCTTTTGGCATGGCATGCAGTGATTTTTCATGCTCAAACAACATCCGAACATCAATCTTAAAAGAGAGTTTCACCATGGCAAGTTACTCCGAACACTTGCGATTCTTTCCTGGAATCCAGCACAAATATGCAAAAAAGAAGATGAGGTCTTTTTCTTTTTCCTGTGAATGAGTGGTTGGAGTCAAGGTCCGTTCGGAGGTGAGGTGCTGATCCGTTTCGGCACGAAATGGTGGTAGAATGCTTGCAGATGAGACCTAGTGCCAAAGAGTACAAAATCAGGGTGCCAAGATCGCATGAGCTCGTGCCTTGGGTGCCTGGGCAGAAGTGGACACATATATAATTAATTTTTCTTTCTCAGGACAGTCGTCACTTGTGGCCTTTCAGAATTGCAGCCTGACTCTTGATCAAGTTTTTGAGAAGGAGACAGTGATCAACAGTATAATTCAGCACCCTCAAGCAGAGATTTTGCGGCCTCAGAGAGTGTAACTTGCAGGCAAACCATGGTATGCCACAACAGCTGGACGTTTGCTGGACTTCTGAAGCCAACACAGCCAACTCCTACAGCAAGAGGTTTTGCAAAGGCTCACGTCAACAGTCTGAAATATATAATATGCAATAGTATGCACAATCAGAACTGCACCATACACCGCCTGGATCCGCTTTTGGTCTTTTGAGTCTTCGTCTGGCACTGTGAAATTGTGCCATGTCGTGGCTTGGCCAGCGTTAGTTTCACTGGCACCATATATCAGAACAGGGAGACTCTGCGATTATGATTATATAAAGGACCAAAGCCCGTTGGAGAGGGGTCTTCCTATTCCAATAACCCATGTGGCCCATGTGTTCAATTCTACGTACTCTTTTCGGGACCGGAGTCCAAGGCCAGTTGGAGAGTTCACTCGCGGCGTTGGCCGGCTTTTCCAAGGACGCAAGGCTGGTCCGTGCGAATCTGGATTCACTCGCCTAAGCTTGCCTAGGGCCTAAGGTCCTGTGCAGATTCTGGATTCTTGCACCTAAGCCTATATAAGTAGCAAGAATGGTTCTAGTAACAAGGTTCTTGATCGGCTAGCAGCGTCGTGCCTGTTAGGGCGCACGGGGCGTGCAGCACCAGAGGCCTCCTGGGCTTTGTCGGAGGAGTTTCCCCCGACCGCGAAGCCGCAGACCCTCGGCGACTTGTGTGGAAGGGAGCCCCAAACGAACGTGCTGGGCACATTGAAATACATTGAACCTTTTTCACTTTTTGCGGGTGCTTCAGGTATGTCGCATGTCAATACGTCAGGTGTGTCAGGTAATTATACGGTATTTGTAAGAACATTCCTTGGAAGATTTGGGAAGGCCGAGCGATGTTTTCCATGACGGTTCTGTGGATGCGCCTTCTCGCCCACCAAGGATCATCCAGGGGCCGAGAGGTCCAGTGGAAGTTTGGCCGGAAAAATGGGGCCCTTTGCCTGCAGAGATGGGTTTTCCTTGAAATAGGGCACTTTGTATAATGTATATATTAATATATATTAATGTATCTAGTTTTTTTCTACCTCAGCCCTCCAGTGCCTTCTTTGGTTTGGGCCTAGCGGACTGTTCGAGACTTCGATGGAGCCGACTAAATTTGACCCTCGCCGATCCAAATGGCTACTGCATTTGTTCGTGGCCACAGAGTTTTTGGGATCTTGGCTGTAGAGTTGAGCAGAGGTGGCTTGCCATGGACCTGCGGGGGTGGATTGCGTCCCTTCATTCCCTCACCTCTAGTAAAGGTTTGTCACACTCTTTCTGCAACTGTCCAACTTTCTGAAGCCTTCACAGAAGAGTGGCTGAAGCAACTGACAAATCACGATCTTGTGCATATCATGCTGCAACATGCTAGTCACTAATGCTTTGGGAACATGCTTCAACGTTCGACATATTCGCGAACGATATCCAGCATTTTCACGGCATTTTCCGAGAAGAATGGCCAAAGGGAATGTATTTCAACCACCAACGGCACATGTGATACACACACAAACGCACGCGCACACGCACATCAACGCCTGTCGCCTCCCAGGCATCACTACCAGCCAATTTGCCAGGCGCGGATGGTGCGGATGTGCATGGGAGTCTCAGGGTTGTTGGAGAACTTCCACAGTGCCACAATGTCCCATGACAGCGAACGCCCCGAG